AGTTCATTGGAATGCAATAGGTTGGCTAATTTGGATTGCCCATATGCTAGTCTTTCTTGATAACTGGTTCAAGCAACAACGGTTGGATGAAAACTAAAGCAATTTTTTTTAGTTCACTGTCCTGAACTGGACAAAATGTTGACAGGGTAATGTAGTATACCTGCTCTTGTCACTGATTTTGTTAAATTGTATTCCTTCTTCATATGGGTACTGATGAAGTAGTGATGACAGGTTCACAATCCTACCCTGAATACCAGTAGCTTTTGATGTTTCCTTCATTTTGTCTATAAGAAGGTTAGTCAAGTAGAAATGACCTGAAAACCAACAAATAGAGATTTGCGAACTATAAATCAGCAGTGTCGAGAGAGTAGATTTTTCCAAAATGTGTATTAAATGATAAGGTAAATAATTCAGCCAAAATATGTATTTCAAGTTACACATTGCAATATATACCTATATGATTTGTGGCGAATTGCATCTCTATGCCATCTTCTGAAAGTTGAAATGGACAGAACATGATACCTGCATTGTTTCTAATTTGCAAAGTCATTAGGTAAACATATTGTTCTAATAAAACTCAATCAAAAGGTATACTCGAGAAAGAGAGCAATTACATTAAGATATTGAGAGGAAGGTTAAGTGCTTTGAATTTATCAGCGAATGCCTTCACTGATCTAATTGAGCTCAGGTCAAGTTTCTCAATATCGACACGAGCAGCATTATTGTCCTTGAGAATACGCTGTTTTGCTTCATTTGCAGCCTCCATATTTCTTGCTGCAATAATAACATGGACATTTCTCAAAGCTAAAACTCTTGCTGTCTCCAAACCAATGCCGCTTGCACCTCCTGTTGTTGCAATGCGCTATCATTAAAAAGTATACTTGAAAATTACCAAAATATGTAAATAAAATGGACCTTGAGCCTAACTCCAACCAAAAACTAGCTCGTGAGGTGAAGATTTCCAAGAGCATATGCGGAGATATTTGCTCATCCTCTCAACCCATGAAAAAGTTTACTTGAAAACTACAAAAGAATTGTAAAGAAAATTGAATGTTGACGCAACTCAACCCCAAAAAACCAGCTCATGAGGTGATTATTGAGAAACTTGACCTAAGGGATAATCGTTTATTCTCTTAACCCGTGTCGGACATGTTTGGCCAAGGGTTCACTACTCATGTATAGTTTCAATGATAAGAAAACTTGAGAATTAAATTTTAATCAAACTTAAAAGCATGGTAATTCTGTGTATTCAACTTTACAGGATTGAACTGAAAGTGCTAGAAATATGATTAAATTCAAATCCTATGTTATGAAATGATATGCTACGAGGTATACTGTCATATAGTAAGAAGACGCTGAAAGAGTTCTAAGGAACTGAAGATTTGAAAGAAAAAAATTAAAGATCAGCAACGGCTAGTAGAATCAAGAGTGAAGACTGAACTACAAATAGAAAAAGCAATGAAGACAGACATATAAAATTCAGTTGCTCTCAAATTGCTTAAATTCAAAAGCTGTGTGTTCATCACCATCTCCAGCTTACAGTTCTAAATCATGTTGTCTATAATCCCTTGAACAAATGCAATTGCTCTTGAATTGCTTATTATTGTGACTTATCATACTTTTTATGTAGTTTTCAAATATGTAAATTATGTAAAAAACTTAAACTCTATGTCCGAATTCGCGATCTAAATTAAGAGGCTTTGACTCTCGAACATCACATAAATTGGGATTTGGGATAGAGGGAGTAACAAACATACTTTAACAGGTTAAAATATCAATATAACTGCAGATAACTTAAATCCTTGTATTATTTGTATAACTCAAAAGTCATATATATCATGGCAGTATATTTATCAGTCTATCAAAGGGGCAAATCTACTGTACGACATAGGGGTCCTAGTGAACCCAGTAACTTAACTTTTGTCCCGACAGTATACATGTGTTAAAAAATCCACTAAATATAAATATTTGATATGTGAACTCAGTTATAATTGTAAATTTACTTAACGTTATCGTAGTAACCCATAAACTTTAAATTCTGGATCCGCCTACGATCTTTCAAATATCTAAGTATATATGAATGAGACTAAATATGAAACTAACCTGTAACAATGGCGGTGAGATTGGACCCATCAATGCCATCAGTAACTTGTTCAGCAGTTGAAGCTGATCCAAAACCACTTGAACCTGGTCTACCTGTTATCAACTTCAACATTTTCTCACCCTAAATTCACACACACACACACAGAGTTAATTAGAACAAGTAAGAAGAGACAATCTAATTTCTGATATTATAAACTGAGAATAAGGTAGAAACCAATCTGGTAGAAAATACAAAGAATGGATTGTTGAAGAAATTAATTAATAAAGACAAGAAATTAGGGGGGAAAAGACAATAACATGCGAGTTGTGAACAGAAGGAATATTGGGTTACTAACTTTCTATATTCCCTCCTCCAATGGAACAGTTCAGATTGGAGAGTCAATTTTTTTGGAAAAAATGCTTTTGACTGAAAAAAAAAATACTTTTGGCCAAAAAAAAACTTGGCCAAACATGCCATTAAAATATTGTTAGAGGCGAAGGATAAAAATGAAATTTTATAGTAATTATTGAGGTAATATTAAACCAAACACTTATTATACATGTATTTTGAGAAGTATATTTTTTCAAAAGCGCTAGCGTTTGGACATAAATTTGATTGAAACTTAAAAAAAAAGTTTTTGAAGTTCTGTTAAACAATAACTTTTAAAAGTTAAAGTTGTGTTTGAGCATGCATTTTATTTGAAGAAAAGTTAGAAGTTTTGGGAAATTGAAAACTTTTGAAATTCTTTTTTCTAAAACATGATCATATTTCATAAACAAATAATATTTTCAATTTTTTTTTTAAAAAAAATGAAGCCAATATTTATGCCGAAACAAGAGCTTCATCTTATCTTCAAAAACTTATTTTTCAAGTTTTAACTAAATTTATGTCCAAATGGCGAAGTTTCAGGCTGCTTAATAAATTTGAAGTAAATTTGAGGGTCAAGACGTGACAATAATGACTTCTATATCGTTATGAAAAATATATGTATGGGCAAATTAAACATATGTTCTTCGTGAAATGTAATAAATGAAGTATACAACTACATGTCTCTTAATAATTGAGATAAACATAAGCATTTGGTTAAATTAGAGGTGAATCCGGTATTTAAATTTTATGAGTATAATTTTGAGGATTGTTGAAATTTAACCAATTATATTCTTAAAGTTATGGGTTTATATCAATTAGTGTCTCAGTCTCATATTATCTGTTATGTACATGCCCCTTAAGAAATATTAATTAGGATGAGATTTAGAGTACTTCACCCTTATTCATATCTTAGTACTCTATCCGATCCATAATAAATGAATTTTTTGCCTATTTATTTTGGCACAAAATAAGTGTCCTTTTACATTATCAAGAAGGTATTAACTTTATTATTTCAAAATTTGCGCTTATTTACATGTTCCAAGGTATCAAGTTAACACAATATGCAAATTTTAATTAAGGGTAATTTAGTCAAAATATATATTTTTTTCTCTGGGAAAGACAAAAAAGTCATTTATTATGGACTCGATGAAGTATTTAATCTTTCTTCCTTGGTATTTGAACAAAGGTATCCATAATTGAGGTGTTTGTAGTGTTCAAGGATAATTATTACTCCCTCCGGTCCACAATAAATGATCGATTTACTTTTTTATTTTGGTCCAAAATAAGTGTCCATTTATATAATCAAGAAAAAATTCAATTTGTTTTTACAAAATTACTCTTATGTACATATCCCTAAAAAGTTTTCTTAATTCTCACATTAAATATTTAATTAAAGGTAGTTTAGTCGTACTAGGTATTTTTGTATAGAATTTAATATTTTCTTAATGGGCGTGCTTAAAGCAAATTGATCACTTATTGTGGACCGGAGGAAGTACTAAGGGTAAAAAAGAAAAAAGATAATCAATTTTGTCTTAAACTTCTAAAGTGATAAATAATTTGAGACAACTATTTTTAGCAATCACAACTTATAATATGAGACAAGAAATATTAATTAAGAATTTTAATAAATTATAACACATAAATTTAGAATCCGTATTGAAATTATTGAATTCAATTGAATCCGATAACATTACACTAGATCCGACCCAGGTCAACCTATAATAAGTAGACCGGTGGTGAGAATGGGACTTGACGACTGTGACCTCTCAAGTACGAAATCTCAATTATTGTAACATAAATAAGACGTCTGACCTTCAAAAATCCTTTAAGTGAAAATTGACAGCCCCAATCCAAAACAAAGTGGTCCTTCTAACTGATAAACATTGTTAAAAATTTCTTTTTTAGGGTAATGGTACGATATTTTAAGGCCATTCATGTCCTTATTATCAAAAGATGACCTTGTACCATCAAACCTTCCTGTAATAACGTCGTCCGTACGTTTTTTTGGCATCTTCCACTTGCAACTTTTGGTCAATTAAAGCTTTTAATATTGATGAACTTTTGGTTAATCTCCATGTTTTACGATATGCATTTTTTGTTGGATATAATATGTTAAAATAGCACGGTTAGCCAGTTTTCGGACTGACAATTAAAAAATAGACAACATTTGCAAAGTCATTGAAAAATAGCTACTATCTTGCTGCAACACGAAAAGTTCCAGTATAATATACTGGAGATTGGAGTACATGTGTATGAATTTCCAGCATATTATGTTGGAACTCCAGCACACGAAAGTTCCAGAATAATATACTGGATATTGAAGCACCTGTGTATGGACTCCAACATATTATGTTGGAACTCCAACACATTATGAAATTCCAAAATGTTATGCTGGAAGTTCACACGTAAAAAATTCGAACTCCAATTTATTATGCTGGACTATTTTGCGAATTTTGAACAGTGTTTTTGTTCAAATTTATCTTTTACATAAAAAGTGGCTAAATTTTACTTCTGAAACTGTGGCTATTTTTCAATTACCACTTGTAAATTTAGATTTTTGAATTTCTCCCATATAATAGCATAGTAATTTACAATGGCTGGTAACCAAAAGAACAGCAAATTAAAGTAAAAAACATATTGTTCATATTTTAAACATAGGTCTTAAAAACAGACACAAGGTCTCACATTTGAAACAGAACTAGTAAAGCTTAACTCAAAGAACTTCTAAACAAATTCACAAAATACTAATCAAAAAATAGTTTCTTTCTCAGGAACTGCATGCATTCAACTTATCAAGTCTTTAGACTTGCATTAACCAAATTGTTGCTGAAATCCCAAAGGTTACGTGCTAAAGCTTCGTCTCGTGCTAGCTTGCTTGGCTTGTACTCGTTGCACTCGAGGAAGTACTTTCCAGTCACTCCCTTCAGTCTTGGATGGAGGGCAACATAGCATGTTGTAGCTGCTCCCTATAAAATAGAATCATTGTCAATATCAATATTTATTTTCTTCTTCGAAATCTAATGACAGTCAATCTAACTATTGTAGTAAAATTGACTAGACATATTACTCATATTGAACCTTAACACTATAGTTCTACGGGGAATATTGAGGTAACTAAGTTAAAGAGAGTAAAAAAATTAGCAGATGTGTTTATGCAGCTGATATGTGTAGTATATTCCTTTAGTTGCAGTTGTTTTGATGTTGTGTTCAGAGTTATAGGATCGAAATAATCAGGTCTCATGCTAGTAAAGTTCATATATGGACATAGTGCCTAACTCAAGTCCCCCATCCTTTTGGTCGATGTGGGAGACTCAACACACTCTCCCCCTCTCAACACGCCCAAGCCTTCCAACTGAAATGTGGACAATATAATATGGGAGTCCAACATCGGTGAAAAAAAGAATTGGGATATGTCCGTCTCTGATACCACTTGTTGAGATCGAAATAATCAGGTGTCATGCGGATATTAACAAGTGGTATCAGAGCGAGGTTCAAGACATATTCATCTAGACTGGTTTAGTTCTAGCCGCAACCTATTTGACGATAATCATGACAAGTGTTTGTTGTTTGATTTATCATCCTTCAATGTTTGCTTTACTAGCTTCCATATGACACCTGATTATTTTTATCCTAACACTAAACACAACAATTTACTTAAGTTATTGTGATAAGGCATCGTCGCAAATAGTTAAAATCCTTGCAAGGAATTAATTCATTTACCTGAGGAACATTCTTCCATAGAAAACAAGTGAAAGCCCTTAAGATTCCTGTCAAAGAAAATACAAGATAAGCTCCTGAATAATGAGTGTCGTCGTCGTCGAGCTAATATTTTTCTGAGTGGTTATATAATAAAATACATACTCATCAATAGAGCAGAATGCCTCATGAGGTTTGTCATTATTAAACCTGGATGCACTGAGTTGACAGTTATATTTGCTCCTTCTTCCTGCATTTGAGGAAAAGATTACACTTTTTGAAGTATTCTGAGTATATATCTAGTTGCAAATGCAGGTACAACTTTTCACTATTTAATTCACTATATGGTTTAAACAAATGGTGTAAACTGTCTTATATAGTAAATCTACTTTACTTTTGTTGAAGCACCAATACAATTAAATAAAATTGTCCTGTCAACAGTATAAATATGTAGATCAGACTATATATACAATTCATCATGATGTAAAAAGTAGACAAATATTCTGAATTCAAGTCTCACCACGACCAATTGTCAAAGAATTTCTATGTGCCTTGGCCACTATCATGTTAAATGGCATGTTGAGGACTGATATAAATTAGTAAGAGTTTCTGAATTTTAACATTTTAAACTTTTAGATGAGATTATACACACAATTCAACAACTTTAGGGTGTACGGTTGATTTGATGAGTTCATATAGCGATTATTAAGCAAAATATAGCAGTAGTAAATAAAATTACCTGCAAGCGGCGAGAAAGCTCATTAGCATGTAAAATATTGGCTAATTTGGATTGTCCATATGCTAGTTTGTCTTGATAACTGGTTCAAAGAAACAATAGATGGATGAAAATTTAAATTGAATATACTGGTGTATCTCACATTTTCACTGGAGCAAAAGGTTAATATACCTGCTCTTGTCATTGATTTTGTGAAATTTTATTCCTTTTTTATAAGGGCAGAGGTGAGCTACTGATGACAAGTTCACAATCCTACCCTCAATACCACTAACTTTTGCTGTTTCCTTCATATTGTCTATAAGCAGATTAGTCAAGTAGAAGTGACCTGAAAAACCAAAGAGAAATAGACATAGGTTTGAGAATTAAATCAGTTGCATAGAGCCAAAGGCGGAGCCACATGTAAAGGAAGTTCAATTGAATCTCCTTCCACAGAAAATTATTCTGTATAAACTGGCTAATAATAAATGTTTGCATGTCTATAAATCGTTGAATCGCCTTGGCATAATCCTAAATATGACATTCTTGTACTTAATTGAATCCTTTTGTTAGAATTTTTGAGTCTGCAACTGGTTAGTGCAATTTCTGCCAAAATGTGTATTTCGAGTAACACAAGGTATTATAAATACAGTCAAAACTCTCTATAGCAGCCTCATTTTGTTCCGGAATTTTTTGATTATTATAGCGAAGTGTTGTTATTGAGAACATATATTATAACATAGTATAAGAATTGGTTCCATAAAAACTTGGCTTTTATAGTGAATGACAGTTATACAGCGATGATGTTATTGGGAGAGCTGACTGTACCTAGATGATTTGTGGCGAATTGCATCTCAATGCCATCTTCTGAAAGCTGAAATGGACAGAACATGATACCTGCATTGTTACTGATATGCAAATTCTCATTAGCTAAACATATAGCTTTAGTAAAAATCAAAACACACACACTGGAGAAAGATAGAGAGTCAATTACATTAAGATGTTAAGAGGAAGGTTAAGTGCTATGAAATTATCTGCAAATGCCTTGACGGATCTAATTGAGCTCAAGTCAAGTTTCTCAATATCGACGCGAGCAGCTTTATTGTCCTTTAGTATACGCTGTTTTGCTTCATTTGCAGCCTCCATATTTCTTGCTGCAATAATGACATGGGCATTCCTCATTGCTAAAACTCTTGCTGTCTCCAAACCAATGCCGCTTGCACCTCCTGTTGTCGCAATTTATCATAAAGAAGTTCACAAATAAGCAAAAAATTCAAACAGCAAGTATGCTAATCAAATCTGTCACTGATAGGGTCTTTCGGAAACACCCTCTCCACCCACAGGGTTAGGGTAAGGTCGACGTATACTCTACGTACCCTCTCCAGACCCCACTTGTGAAATTTTTACTGGGTTGTTAGTTGTTGTTCTTTATATATTTCTCCTGTTGCTAGGCGCCCAAAAACATAAAGTGTAGATCTAGTGAACTTGTATTATAGTGAACTAATTACCGTCAGACCTCTTTAAAACAATATTCCTATATAATAGTCATTCATTATAAAAGCCAAGTTTTTCTCGGAACCGATTTTTATGTTATGTTATAATATATGTCTTCTATAACAACACTTTACTATAACAGCCTAAAAATATCGGAACAAACGAGATTGTTATAGAAGGGTTTGACTGTAGTAAACATAAAGAACAGAGATCTAGTAAATTAAACTTAATGTATAATTGAAGTATTGCTTCTCAAAGATTTGATGGAATGGCCCGCCAACCCAAGAGCGCTTATATTATACGGAACAAAAACTAGTCAAATACAGAAATATTTTCTAATTCTTTTTTCAAAAGCAAATCCAAATGCCACCTGAGTTTATTTTAGATTTTTTTTTTCAGCAAAAAAGAAGAAGACATCAAACAAGCTGGCAGACCACACAAGCTCAAATAAATAATGTACAAACACCAATATTGCAAGACAAAAAGTCAAAAACTTAATAAATTAAAAACATCACAAGTACAACTTAGAAAATCTTTGTCTAGAACAAACTGCTGAGCTCATAAGAAACAAGAAAATATTTAAAATAAATATATAAAAATAAGAAACCCCATATTATTCCAAGTAAGCTATGAACTTTCACCCAAACACCTACTATCATTTTTATCTTTCTTTTTCTTTTAGTTTAACCTACTAATATTCAGGCCAACTAATCTGAATTCGCATCGGACAAATCATAAAGAAGGTAAGCTCACCTACATATCAAGCTAAGTCATTTACTTCCACGTAACATGGATCTATTAGTGCAGTATGGGGTGTATACAATTATATTATGTCCGTAAGTTATATGCATCGGCAGTGCAAAAATAATTACAAGTAAATCTCTATAATAAACATTACTTAATTAGTATAACCTAATAAACACTAATAACTGACTTGCATGCTATATGGAAGCCTAGTACTATGGTACATTAAGCTCCCGCTAAGCGCGGGGTTCAAGGAAGGACCGAACAATAAGGCTCTACTAATGTACGCAGCCTACATTGCATTTCTGCAAAAGGCTGTTTCCACTGCTTGAACCCGTGACCCCTAGTCAGATGACAATAACTTTACTAGTTACGTCAAGACTTCCCTTCCTGATTTGCATGCAATAACATGTTAAATTACAACGATAACGGGACTAAATATGAAACTAACCTGTAACAATGGCTGTAAGATTGGAGCCATCAATTCCATCAGTAACTTGTTCAGCAGTGGAAGCTGATCCAAAACCACTTGGACCTGGTCTACCTGTTATCAACCTAAACATTTTCTCACCCTATATATTAATTCTCCAAAAATATATATAACACAAAGTTTTCAAACAAGGAAGAAAAAGAGAGACTCTCTAACTTATGATGTTATGAACTAAGAAAGCAAAAAGCAATTTGGTTCAAACTATAAAGAGTACTGGACTGTTCAAGAACATATAATTAATTTGAAGGGGCAAAAAGACAATGACATGACGATTGCAATGAAAAAGCGATAATTATGGGTGGTGTTGAGAGTTGTGAATATAGAAGAAATTATTTGTTGGGGTTACTATATATATAGTAGATGAAATTATTTGTTGGGAAATTTTGGTAAAGAATTTGGTATAAAACAGGCACATTCAATGTCCAAGTCGGTGACTGTTTGTAATTAGCTTCACCAACCTTTCAACTGTTTTCTTGTTTTTATAGATTTAAAAAAATAAGAATTTAATTGTTGTGCACTTATAGTGTATTCACATTAAAATGATCTATAATAACAGATAATTCTCTATAATAATCATGATTTGCTAGCAGGGGCGGAGAGATAGTGTTACCTACGAATTTGGGTAAGGACGAATTTGGTAACTTTTTGCTTAGACGTTGTATTTATATTAAAAAATCTATTAAATATATATATATATATATATATATATATATAAATACTTAATTGTAAATCCAGTAACTAATGAGCCATGGGTTGGGTTGTAAATTTAGAATCCAGAAACATTAAATCCGGGTTCCGCCTCTATTTGGTAGCATAAAAATTTGTCTAAATAACGTATTATAACTTGTTATATTAATATTCTGATACTATCAAAAAATATTATATTATCAGTTATATATTAAGTTACATTAAATCTGAAAAATAAACAAGTAGAAGAAGTATATATACTTATAATATAAATAATTTTTAGACTATAGTGTATTTTAATCGATTTAGCAGGTAATTTCTTATTTTTCAAGTAATTAATCTCATGTAGATTATTACTTATGGTTGGCTTAATAGTATAAAAGTTTATTTATAATGGTAGTGTATAAACTTGAACTTAAAAAAAGAATTTATATATTTCATGCAGATATATCTCGTTGACATAATCTCAAACTTTTTGAATATTCTTTATGCTATGGTTTGTTTGTTGACCATAATCTAGTTGTTTTTGCATGGTAGATAGAGGTTTCCAGATTACAACTTTTATTTATTTAAGCAATCCAAGTCCAACCATTTTGATATTTTTGGCATTTTATGTGATTGCACGTTTTACGTTTTAATTCCTTAGTATTTATCGTATCTAATATATAATCCTACTTAATAAAATAATGAGAGCAATTCTTCACACATGAAAACCTGCTTAATTCTCATTACTAATTATATTATTGGAACTGCTGTCAAAAATATGTATAACATTCATCATTTATAATAGTGTTTTACTATAAAAAAATTTTGGAACCAATCTTTTTACCTTATATTATATCATATATTTTCCATAACAATATTTTACTATAGTAGCATAAAAATGTTGAGACGGACAACATTATTATAAATAGATTTGACTGTAATTGCTAATTTGACCCAAACATGATATTTCGAATTCAATAAAAATGTTAATTTTAAATCGGTATATTCATATCGAACATCTCATTAATGCCATCTTCAACATTGTCATATTCATGTGATCTATGCGTTGAATATAGTAATTTAATTCCTCCTTTTCTACCCATCCTGAAAAAATCTGGAGGGACTTAATTTATGAATAAAATAATTCACATATATTGTATGTATAACACATATATATCTTGACTTTAGCACTGAGATACAGTTTCACGCTGGACCATAAATTTGAAGTAAATTTTGAAGCTCAAGACGTGATAATAATAACTTCTATATTATAATGAAACTTATATGTATGGGCAAATAAAACGTATGTTCTTGGTAAATATAATAAATGAATCATACAACTATGGCTCTACAATAATTGATATAGACATACAGAGATGGGTTCAAACTATTAATAAGTATTTTTTTTCAAATTTATGTGTTTTACTTATCTTTTTAAAATATATATTTTTAAAATGTAACCTTTATATATTTAGTAATTTTACTTTAATATGTTTGCTTTATCCTTCATGGCGCTCCCTTTTAGAAATGACATGTCATATTTAAAATCACAACATTTAATTTTTTTTATGTATGTTATACCATAATATTCAAAAATCTTTTTTTAATCAATATATACTATATTAAAAGCACGAAAACCCTTAACGAAATGTCGTTCACCTGTCTTTTTTACCCTTTAAAAATAGAGTTTATACTGAAAAAAATATTAATTATTTTCCTAATATCTTAGACATTGAAATCAACTACAACTCTGATTTTTTTTTCCATATTTGAATTATACAGAAAATCCTAAATATTAGAATTCTAAAAGAAATTAAAATTTTAATTTATACAAACTTTCCTATTTAAAGATCATTAATATTAAAGTTGATTTTCCTAATCTGTAATAATTTAAAATTAAATACAAATTTCTTATTTGAACTATGGTGAAAATTAATATTTTGGAATTATAAGAATGTGTCCCTTCTATTTCTAATCATGCAGAAGTTAAGGAAAAAAAAAAAAGAAGAAGAAAAATCTATGGTAGAAAAATACATCTATAAAAAAAAAACTTCTTCGAAGTAATTGACTTAATCTAATTAAACTTTACATTATTGATTCGAGTAATTTTCCCGCACAAGCTAAATCATTAGTAATTTTCTTTGTATTAGTCTTGATTCACCCTAAAAAATTTGAATTATCCCAATTAATTTTAAATATTATTTTATTGTTTTTAGCATATATATTTCATTTATACAGTACACGTGCAACACACGTACTCTAATACTAGCATTATTAAATGCGCGCCAATCAAAATCTAGAAACAGAAAATGAAATGAAAGAGTAATAAATATAACTATAGTATTTAAGAGAAATAAATTTTACTAGCTGGTGAGAATGGGACTGGTAATTAATCTCTCAAGTACAAATCTCATTATTGTAGGTGAAAAAAAAAAAACTCATTATTATTATAACATAAATTAGAGGTCTGGCCCTGATATAATCTCCAAAACCCTAGGTAAAAACTGACAGCACAGCTCCAAAACAGAGTGGTCCTAATGAAAACTTAAATGAAAACGAACATATCTGGTGGTCCTCGTCCTTGTTAGTTGGTATGATTATTAAAAATAATTGGTCTAAAATACTTATCATTTTAGGATATTTAAAAAGAATCAATTATTTTTTTCACCTTTAATCTTACTATGATAAATATATAAAGAGATTAATATAGTGAAAATAAGAATAATAATAGATTATTAGTTTAATTAATATTTTCATAAAGGGCGTGCGCAAAAAAACATGACAAGTAAAAAAAGAATGGAGGAAGTACTTACTTTAAAAGGAAATAATGAAAGCTGTTTTTTATAGGTAAAATGACATTGTATAACCGCTCTCAAAATAATAAAAATAAATAAATAAATAAATATATATA